ATGGTAGAAGGAACACAGGGTTCGAGGAATGGAGGGGGAGAGGGGAACTACACAGTTGCACTTTCCCAGATCACTGGGATAGAGGGGCGAATGAATATGCTAGCTAGCGAACTTTTGTTGCTCGTATTACGGGCACCAGGGCTTTTTAAGGAATAAAAATTTCCCTCAATTAAGAATTATAGGTCGTCCGAAAGAAGAAGGCGAATCGTTAAGATCTTTTGTACACTTCGTTATGATAAGAAAGGGGGAAGGGGGAGGGGGAGGGGTTTGGAAGGGAGACGAAGGGAGGAGCAATCGATTTTCATCTTTATCAGGAAGATCGAGTTGTTGTATCGGGCGTACAACAACCGGGCTCTCTCCCTGGCTCTATGCAAATTTCATAATCATCGGAACACTTGACTGTACACGTGCTTGCTTGGCTTCGAACAACAGCTTCCGTATCGATTAAACGTTGCAGGTTAAAATCGATCGAAATGCCTACTTAAGTCGCATTAACCAAATGCTTGATTCACAGGATAGTCTGAGTGTGGTATTTAGCGGTGAAGCTACAGCAAGTGTACCGTGTAAACTGGCCTAATGGAGGCATGCTGCTGTTGCTGCTGCTTCTGCCCAGTGTGCAAAAGTGTGCAGGAATTATCCATCGAGAGTTGCTCGAATCGCCATCAGTTGAATCGAATTACGAGTTTGCAACACTTTGTCACGGGGTTTTGCAGATACTCCTGGCGACGCAGCTTCCTCTCCCCCCTTCTCTCTCGCCGCGGCCTCTTCTGCTCGGCTTTTCGACCTTTGCTAATTCGGCTAAGGCACTTGTTCTCCCAAGTAAAAGGCGACCGCAAAAATCGATCCCCCGCGAGCTCCCGTAAAAGGAGAGAGAGACACTGTTTTGTTTTTCTTCTTACCTCCCCGGTTCTCCACCGCGGAGGAAAGATTCGTGGCACTTAGTTAGGACGGGGGTTGCTTGTTCTTGCCGGCAAAAACAAGAAACTCGACGACGGGCAAATCCGGTGAGAAGATTAGCTGAATGCAAAGGAACCCGGCGCTCGACGAACCTAAGGAGCTTCGACGGAATTCGAGGGAATTCGATGAGAGTGCTCGAGAAGTGTGTACGGTTTTTAAGTGTGTACGGTAGAACGATACCTGAGAGAACTAGAGAAAAAGCCGGAGGATAAGAGAAAGAGGAGATAACGGGAGTGAGGAGGAGGAAGAGGGACAGGGGGAGAGAGAGAGAGGAGCAGGGAGAGACGTGGAGTAGAACGTGAAGACAGAAGCCCGAGCCTCTGGAAGAAAGTGGAAACTCGTAAGTAATAGCTCCGACAGCAAACCTGGTAAAATGAACGGATAGACGATGCCATGGAACGACTCTTATTTCCTTTCGCGCTTCAGAAGTCAGTATAGCGAGGGAAAGAAAGGGAAAGAAAAAAAAAGAAGAAAAAGAGAAAAAAGGGAAAAGGAACGGGGAAAGAGGAGAACGGCGAAAAGCCAAGCGAAAGAGAAAGAGGAAAGGGTATTAGACAGAGAGGCGAAGGGGGAGAGGGGGTGAAACAAAAGAAAAGACGAGTCGCGGTCGCTGCTGTGTGTGGAAGAACCGAAGTTACGTTTCTTTCTCTCTCTCCTCCTTACTTTCTTTTCGCCTACACATCTCGGTACTCTCTCACCGAGGCGTTCTTCTTGTACCGCCGTGAGTGTCGGTTAAGCTCTAACGTTTAAGACCTTCCAAACAGACTTCGAAGCTTTCTGGACGAATTTTACGTTTAGGGGAACCCTCGTATTCGTTCCTCGCCGTGTGTGAGATATTTTTTCGCGTATCCCGGAGACGTTGTCCGGCTTAAATGCCAGTCGAAATTAATGGAAATGGTCAGAAAACTTCTCTAGGGATTTTCCTCTGTCCTAATTATCGTACCGGGAGATGTACTAGAATGAACTTTGAAACGAATGTTACTGTTCGTTCTGAAGATATTTCGAGTAAAAGGAAGAACGTACACGTCTTTGTCTGCGTACACTTGACATGTCAAATTGTTTTGCGTTTGTATCTTTGTTCGGAGACTACATTAGAATATCGATATACCGTTGGTAATTATGCATGGAGAGATTCACTGTGATATTCAGAAGAGCGAGACGAGAGACATACAGAGAGAGAGAGAGAGAGAGAGAGAGAGAGGAACTTTATATGGAGAATCAAAGACGCTTTTGGTTAACCAAACCACGTCCAGTTTCCTTCGAGTCACAAGTGACCAACAGAACGGCTCATTGGACCCCTCAGAGAGACACTCGTTGCCTGTTATTCTCTGCCGTAATATAGCATGCAATTCTCGTGCGCGCATTTATAATACTCTGTGCATACACTTTGGATAGATGTGCAAATGTATGCTCCGCGCGGAAATTGGTGTTTCGATGTTTAATTTGCTATGGTATGGTACAGCTAATGATGGATATTCAAAAGATCGCGTGACACTGTTTCGCGTTTAATTATATTCAGGTAAATAGCCGTGTGTTGAAAACATCTGAATTCTATGTTCTTGATTGCGACACAGATCCCGAGACGCTCGGGAATCCTCTGTTAAACAATCGGCACAATTATCGAGCCTACGATTGCAATAAAATTCCCGATGTTACACGCGTGTATCCCGACTCGGAACGAAAGCAACGAATAGAAAGATTCGTGAAAACTAATTTAAAGAACAAAAAAAAAAAAAAAGAAAAAAGAAAAAAAAAGGCAGGGAGAAAGAAGCGATTATCGCGCTCGTGAATAATATTTACACGAGCATAGGGAGTTTGAAGTTTAGCCAGGCTGCCGTTACGATTACGTTTCTATTTGCCAGCCGGCCAGCAGCTGCAATTTCCACCTCGATTAATTGCTCAGTTTTACGTTGCAACTGAAAATTCTCTTCGCCCCTTCCCTTTCTTCTTCCCATTCGGGGGGGCCGCGAAACGATTGTTAATTGCGCTTAGGTACCTCGCGTAACCATCCTTCCTCGCCAACGATCCGCCGTCTGAGAATCACCACGCGAGAATGTAATCGCTAAAAGCTTTTTTTCCCTTGTCTCGGTCACGACGTTGTCTCCTCCTCATGTAAATATTGTAAAAACAACGAAAAAGAGGTAACAAAAAGCGGCCGCTGGTTGATGGCCGCCACTCGACTGCCTCGCATATCCGCCTAAAAAGCAGCAGTCCAGTGAAACGCGATGCACTTTCGCAGGACTGTTTAACGGGAATATGTATGCATGTCGGCCGTCGTGGTTCACAGCGTCGGCGCTGCCGTAATTTTCGTCCGTACGGGTTACGCGTACGGGGAAAAGCGCGGGCGAATTTTTAAAGGTTTAACTTCGTACCGGGCTCGCGCACTTTCATTTGCTTCTCTCTCTCCGCGGTCTCTCCCCGTCAAATGTACACGTACGCCGCTGATATATTCGACCTCCCCCTCCCCCCTCCTCCTCTCTCTGTCCTATCATCATACGCGCACGAAAGAAATTCTTTTTAATATTTCAGACGATATTAGCATCGTTTTGCTCGGCGCGTCGAATTTTTCGGTGATCGATATCCTTGCTATCCACTGCTATTCACTCTGAATGCCCCGGGATGACACCGAGCGCTGAAGTTAATAACAAAATATCATCAGCGGGCACTATCACTGGTTGAATGACGCGATCTATGATGAATAACGAGACACGAAACGCGCGAAAGCACCGCGTATAGTATATCACTATACAAGGGACCAGAAATTGTGTCAATGAAACTCCATCTACAAACGATCAATTATACGTTCGTTCCGCGTCTATACGAACGTTTCAACTCTCATTCACTTACATAGCCTGTAAAGATCCTGACCATGGTCGTCGAAGCTCTAAAAAGTATTAAACGTATGTAACGTCGGGCGTTCCCGCGGTTTTTCTCCTTCCCCCCTAAACTCATTCGTGTCGTTGTCCCTCGAAACCGTCGGTCAGGGGTAGGAAAAGGGTTATTTAAGTTAAATACCGCAGCCGCGGCGTAATTTTCAACGACGCAAAGAGAACGTGGCCCGAAGTCATAAAGGGCAGGCTTCGGCACGAGCGAAATTTTCATTTGACCGGCCTGTACGTGCAAACGTCGACCTCGCGCGCGCTCTGGTTGGTCGCGCGAGTGTGCGTATTTCGCGCGGGTCTCGCCTCGCCTCGCCTCGCCTCGCCTCGCCTCGCTTCGCAGTGGGGTCGCAGAGGATACTCGGCGAAGGGTAGCGGCTGAAAAGGGAAGAGCAGAGGCAGCAGGCACCCACTATTCGAGTATTATTGCGATGCTGGCTGCAGGAGGGTGAGGATGGGATATATCAACGGTTGGCGTTTATGTGGCGACCAACTGTCGAGTTAATATTCACGCGACTCAACTTGACCCCGCGCCGCCACCCTGTCGAACCCGCGCCCCCGTGAACGGCTATGCGAAATTCTTCACCTCGCCTTCCCGGCCCAAGCGTTTACGCGTCTTCTCCTCCCCGGCTCTTTTCCGACCGATTGGCGTATATTGCTGCAGTGTACGGTTGCCACTGCATTTCTCCACCAGGAGGCCGGAGAAGTTATGGTAATCGGCGTCAGACTATGGCCAAGCCAGAGAATTTGATAGATACTCGCAACAGACTATCGCGTTTATTAAACGGATTCGCTGGTACACTCGAGTCGAACCATTGTTAACGATGCATACACGAATTGAAATTAAATTAGCTCAACTTAAATCAAATTCAAATCTTGTCGTAGCCATGTGCGAGCGAATGACGCGTAATTGAGGGTCAAAAGCTGTTCTCACTGTTTCATTTCTTGACCAAAAACTTCTGTAACTATATGGGATTAAATGCTGATGAAGGTAAGTTAACGTCCAGTTAGGTTAATTTTAGTCGTTGCCGATGTAAATTATATTAACCGAATTTATTCGTCTTCCTTAATTAATCGAGTTAATTGGAACTTTTGCGAGATAAGTATATTAATTTTGAATGATTCTTTTCCACCTGAAGAGAGAACAAATAATTTTTGTTGCAGCGTTACGTATGGCGTATGGCCTTACTCTATGGTATGGCATCGCGGGACATTGTTCTTTGCTTCTTCCTCGCTGCCTTTCTGTATTCGAGTTTCGGTAAGAATCAAACAAGATATTCTCTCTCTCTCCCCCCACCCCCTCCCCGTCTTTAGAACCCGGAGTAGCAGGGCTCTTCTCCCAATCGCAGCGGCGAAAAGAGGCGTAGAAGAGCAAGTTTGAATTGGTCTTACGGAATACGGGGCGCAAAAGTTACAAGTTTTTTAATCCGTACAAAATGATACGAACGAATCTCTTGTATCCGTAATAGCATCGTGCCGTACCCACTTTTCCTTCCTGCCGCGTTTCTTTGCTCCACTTTTCGGTAGGAATCAAATAAAATGCCCCTAAAAGCACTATCGGAAGTCTCCAGAGCTTCCGTAAAAGCATTCCCTGTTCGCAAGGTGAACGTAGGATAGAAATTACAAGAGCAGGCGAAGCCGCGGCTAAACATTCCCCGGTATTTCCGAAATTGTTCGTCTAATGTCTAATTTTTAAGTTTTCATCGTTCGGTAACGCGTGACAGAGACAAATTTCATTTCTTCCTCGCGCGATCCACCGCAAGGGGACGTTTATTATTTAATAAGATGTTAAACGTTGGGACACGCTCTGATACAGTTGAACTAAACACGTCACGTTATGCGACACTGTGACTTTTTTTTTAATTTTTCTCTCTTTTTGTGTTTTTTTTTTTTTTTTGCTTTTTTCAATCTCTCGTTGACGTCCACGTGACGCGCGACACACGCGTACATTCCGCTGACAAAATGCTCGTTGAACGAAGAAGACAAACTAAATCTGAATGGCCTAGTGGAAAAAGAATTATTGGCCCGTGCACTCGCTATTAATCTACAGAGCCGATATGCACGACGAGCTAGATTAAGCTGGTCGCGTTAAGAGAGATGTAGAAAGATTAAAGAAATCAATATCGAGCCCGGTAAAATATATGGAGGATGGCGAATCTGTAGAATTGACAAGTGCCATCGGAGCTTATGGTGCGCGATGCACTTTGTTGCACGGAGCACGTTGTTGATCCACGCCGTGAAGGGCGTGAATCTTGAAATTAATTAGACGCAACATTTGCCGGATCATTAATCCCACGATCGTTAATTATATCCGGTATAATTCCCCCCTGGCCTAGGTCAAGCGATGCCAAAGTCCGAGGTCCAGCCAGAATTTCTAGCGCTTCTGGAGAACCATACGGTCAGTCAAGGTCGTGACGTCTCCTTCACCTGCGTCGTTAATCATCTTCAATCTTACAAGGTAATTGCATTCACGTGCCGTGGCGTAATTAGTAAGTCGATTAGGGGCAAACGCTTCGAAATCGTAAGTAATGGCCTGAAATCCGTATTTCCGTAAATAGTGATTCGAGAAATAGCGATCGCGAGTTGCATAATCAAGAAATGTAATATCGACGAAAGCGTACGCCGCGTATGTGTATGTCTATTTTACGCGTGTACGTGAATGAAGTATACGTGAGTGATGAAACACGATTGGAATACACAAGTACGGTGTCGATTATGACAAAGCACGTAAGTTTGCACTTTCGTCGGGTCCACACCCAGACTTTTGCTGTCCAGAGCCCCTTGCGGGACAGAGCCCCGCCGAGTAATTCACTTTCGAGAAGAAGTCCAAGTTTGATTGCGCGCTCGAATCGACAATCGCTTCTATCGCGAGATGAAACGCTCTTGGCGCGTGTTCAGAGGATTCCGCCCAGCTGGATTCGAGGGATGGAAAAGGACGCGAAGGAGAGTAGCGGAAAAGAAAAATAAGAAGTAGACGAAGAAGAAGAAGAAGAAGAAGAAGCAGAAGAAGAAAAAGTAGAAGAAAAAGAAGTAGAAAAGGTGGAAGCATAGGGAATCCGAATGTTACAGCGAGCGGGGAAGTGCCCGGGGAAAAGAAAGGAAGCTCGAAAGAAGAGACATAAATCAGAGTCGCTAATATACCGTACAACATGAATGGGTCTGATTTCTACCAGTCCAACACACGGCATCGTATCCTTTCCTTATCCCCTGCCTTTCTCAACATTTGCGTCCAGTTCGAAAGTACGACAAACTCCAATATGAGATTTTTGGCGAAAATATCGCGGCGCAGCAACAATTTGCCGTATATCGAGTATCGAGCACGGGAAGAAAAATCGGGAAGGCTGCAACAAAAACAGACCTTGTTGAACTTTTTCCAACTTTTTAGATAAATTCTAGTAGTCAAACGCGCGATATGGTGAAACCGATACCATCGAAAACGATCTGCGCTCTGATTTATTGCAGAATGAAAATTGACGGGTTTCGCAAAAACAACTTTTTTTTTTCTTCCCAACTGTTTTTCATCAAGCAGACTATTTTTTTGTGCCTCCTGTTTATAACGTTGTTATTTCAATATCGCGGACTCATGAACCGACATCTATGAAGCAAAAAACAAACACACGATATCTCTTCCCCCCCTGTTTTTTTTTTTTTTTTTCTGAAGAATGACAAAATTTCAAAAGGGTCGTTTTTATTACAAACCCTTCGATTTTATACGGTTCCACGTTGTAATGTTTCGCGTTGTCGCGTCGTTGTCGAGCGTGAAGCGTAGAGGTGAAGATGTTTGGTCGAAAATTTTGGCGAGGAAGCGGTATGTATGGTACATGGAGAGTAATTACACTAAACACAGTCATTGCATCGACATACCGGCAGACTATTCAAATGCGAGTTCACATTCGACGTATTCAATGTCAATCTATACGCGTGAGATATAACAGATGCGCGGGGCTGATTCGATCGCTGATTGTTTGCGGTTGCGTAAAAAAAAAAAGAAAAAAAAGGGAAAAAATTATTTTTTTTTCTCCCGCCAACAGGTAGAACTATTCTGCCAGCCAGAACGGCGAACGGTCCATCAACGTTATTTATGCACACCTTAAATTCCATTGCCGTTGGATCAAAACGCCGCTTTTGTTCCACCGATTTAAAAGCCCTTTCACCCGTTCAATAGAACCGTCGTTTGAAATACGACAGATCGAGCACGCAGGAAGTATGTTCGTACAAACGGGACCAAACGGGGAAGTACGATCACCGATTGGAATTTGAATCCTGGAATCCAATAACAGTGTTCATCCACTCGCGCCAGGATCCTCAAGTAAATAATTACGTTTCGGGGAGGGGCGTTAAACGTACAAATGAATTTTCAGACTTACATAACGATCGGAGATTACGATTGATGCTCGTTTAGCCGGGTAAAAATCGATCCTCTGACATCACGTTTACCATTTCATTTCTTTCTTTCTTTTTTACATTCCTCCTTTCTCTCTCTCTCTCTCTCTCTCTCTCTCTTTTACTCATCGCTGAACAATCGCGAAAGATATTCTTTTAATTTTGACATTGTTCGTTTCCGAGGAAGCAACAAACGGAGAATAAGAGTTGAATTACGCCTGTAATACAACTCTTTTTTTTTTTTTTTCCTTTCTTCCCTCTCCGGTTTCTTTCTTATTGCGGTATAATATTTACGTTCCGAGTCTTAACGGGCGCATTTATGTTGGAATTCATGAATGTGCAAGGCAACAGGAAATCGGAGAGAACATTTTATGTTCGCGCAGGGAGAAACTTGTTCTCGTGCATCGCTTGAAATATATAATTCGCACATGTATAAATAATATTCTTTTATCTTAACGTAACAGCTTGCGAAAGATAAATTCTTCTGCGTATTTTTTTCCATTTTCATTTCCGAGTTTTCCACTCTTTCTTCCTTTTTTTTCCCCCTTTTTTCTTTTTTTTTGGTCACGTGTACTCCATAATGCGAACAACGCCACACAAAATAGGATACTACGTTAAACACGTTCCATCTACTCGTATTTCGTATTTCCTGTCTTCGAGCCTTTGAAGCGTTCGTCCAACGGGTGGAACGTTTCTTTTGAAATTTATTATTCATACCTCGTAAACGAGTGCAAGGTACGCCGAAAGGGCCAAAGGAAAACGAGAACACAATAATAAAGAGAATATCTTGAAACGAAGAATAGAAGTTGGCCGTACCAACCAAGGGATAAGTTTAACTGGCTAATCAAGAAAGTAACCAACGTAATACCCAGCAACGTTCAATAGACAGTAAACCGGCAGCATCTACAACTCTGGCGATCAGTCTTGGTACATTGGAGGGTGGAACGCATTATTCTTATTGCACCCACCGCCTTCGTGAGCCTCGGGGAATGTATCACGAGCGAAAATGTACATACGTATATATATGTATACACATGTACGCGTTATACACTCTGACTAGGCGGAACAAGAAACATCATTCATAACAAAACTAATTCTAAAACGATGGTATTATAAGGGAGTATGAACGGTGTAAGTAATGCGGGCGGTGAGTCGCCGTTTATAATCGGCTGCTGAAACTGCGAGAATGTTCATGCCCCGTGATTGTATTATGCAGGTCGCCTGGATGAAGTCCGATTCGAAAGCTATCCTGGCCATTCATACGCACATGGTCGCTCCAAACCCACGGTTGTCTGTCACTCACAATGGACATAACACGTGGAAACTGCACGTGACCAACGTCCAACCGAACGACTCTGGCACGTACATGTGTCAAGTTAATACGGATCCTATGAGAAGTCAGGTTAGTATGTACGTCTTCGTGTCTGATTATTAAACCAGCATGTACGCCCGGCTCCATACCTTGCCTGTCTCCGCGTACAGATATACACGTACAAATTACACGAGTGTTTCGTCGATTGTCTCTGGTCTTGCTTCTTTGTCTCTTTTTAAATTTGTTCCAACATTATTGTATAACGGAATACGAACGAGGGCAGACGAATTAATAGATTCGATAACGTTTGCTGCATTACCGTCGATTGTAACCAACCGCGGCTGTCGAAAATACTACTATCGAAAAGAACGACCGTCGATAAAATCGGCGGAATTGAATGCAAAATTTCGCCGCGAAAAGGGCGGAACGAAAGCGCGCGAAATAAAACGAAAGAGAGAGAGAGAGAGAGAGAGAGAGGGAGAGGATAAAATATAATACGATACAGAGTTTCGTTGCTTTCGGTTGTTATCGTCGCGACTGGTCGCGATCGATGTGTATTGTGTATATATATATTTTTTTTCCCGATGATAAACCTAGATTAAAGGCAAGTCTCAACGGTGAAGCAATCCGTGTTTGTTGAGGTTGTTGAATCCGCGGGTTAAGCTTGATTTAAATGTTTCGAGGCGGAAACTGGGAACAGTAGAGTGGGGCGGTATAGGTCAGACTAGACTTCTCCGCCGGCAGACAAATGGTGGTATATGATAGTTCGTAACGATCTTTGTGCAGACTGGTCATATGAAGGTACTGATACCGCCCGATATCACGGATTTGGACGACTCGGCTGACCTTCTAACGCCAAAAGAGAACAGTGATCTGCGATTACGATGTCGGGCGACGGGAACACCGGAACCCGTGATAACTTGGCGACGAGAAGACGGACGAAATATTACTCTCAGGACGGAGCACGGCGTTCAACGAGGTAACATTTTCCAGCATTATAATTTCCGACAGTTGGCACTACGCTGATTTGAATTACTAATTTGATCGACTAATTAAATCGGTGGCTCGAGCGAGCTGTAGAACCAACATTATTCATCATTTTTATGTTTAACGACATATAGATGCTATTGCTTGGAAATTTGGAATTATTTATTTAATAAGGAAGAAAGCTTCGATCTTTTAATGAAAAATACAAAATGGAGAACGGATGGCTCACTGTTCTTTAAGAAGATCCTTGTACGACTTTCATTTCTTCAATTCTAATTAAGGAAAGGTCTTTAGGTCGTATTTCGAGTACGTCAAAGCAACAAGATGTGAAACAAAGAAACAATAAATCATTAGCATTTACAAAAACGGGATAATACAACAGTGTAATCTGGAACAAGGAACTGCTACAGGCAAGATATAGCAAACTACGGATATTTTTACATATAGCAGCCCATAGCGAATTACATAATTATTTGTAAATACTGTAAAGAGATTCCAAACTTTTTGTACCGATAATCGTTTTGTAACATTAATATGTAACCTTATTATTAACCATTTAAAAAGCATCTGATTTGCATGAATTAAATCCCGTTGCCGGTGATCATAAAAAAGAGAGATGCATAAATGAATAAATACATAAGTGGCTCAAGTATTTCAATGCTGTTCCATTCCACGCAACGAGATATTCATTGAACGTATCAACGTAAAAGCGCGATCCCGTCTGGTCCATCGCGTTCTGTAGAAAATCAACCAGCCGATTAGCCTTTCTAACAGTGAGTGATGGATGTTGACTTTACATATATTTCCTCTTCGCCGACCCCATCGATTCGCATACCCGATTGCAATATTCGCTGTGTACACTGCGCCACGAAAGTGTCTACCACTCAGAATCTATATCATTCGCCGGCGATTCGACGATCTTCCCCAAAACGTCATAGGGGAGTATTCTCGTTGTTTCGGCTCCCTTAATGAGCTCGACTCGGACCCTCGTACATCATATCCCATGGAAACCGCAATAAAAATGTTATATACCGGATATTGGAACGAAATACGAATTAAACGTTTCGTAAACTGATGAAATATATAGAAAAAGAGATGATTATAAGATGAAATATTTCTATATACATACATAGAAAAACGAGATTATTAAATTATCGCGATAGATAGGAGCTAACTTTTTAACGAGGATGATTTAGCGGAATAGAAATATTCATAGGCGAACGCGAATAATTAATGTTTCGATTCATTATAAATGGATCGTTGTATGCAAATGTTGTATCGTCGTGTGTTTAAAAAGGATTTTCAACATACAGAGGTATAGATACATGACGTGAAATATTCACGGTACTCTTTAAAATACGTAGTGAATAAAATCTCTGTTCATATATTGACGAAAATTTCGCGAATTTGCGCGAACGTTCGCAATCTAAATTATAAAAGAACCTAAAAATCCTAGCTCGAACCAATGTATATAATTTCTAGAAGAGCGCACTTTATTCGTATCCGGCGTAAAGCTGGAGGTTATATTTAAAATACAATATCCTTGCTGAACACTTTTCCAGACTTAAGAATCTTCCCCCGAGGATATAGAATAGAAATATCAGTACGATTCCTAGAGGAGACTTTACAATCTTCGGTCATAGGGTAAAATTACCGGTCTAAACGGCGGCAGTAAAGTAGAATAGGAATATCGATATAACTATCCATATAACTAGAGAGCCTGACCCGACATTTCATATGACCCGTTGATAATGCTTCACGCAGTAAAGTCGTACGAAGGGGAGCAACTTCATCTGACGGGCATTCTGCGGCAGGAGATGGGCTCTTACCTTTGCATCGCCTCGAACGGCGTGCCGCCAACGGTCAGCAAACGATATTACGTGAACGTACGATGTAAGTGAAGTGGCGGGCCCGTTAAATTGGCGGGCACACCGACGAAGAAACTTCCAATGATTAATTATAGTTTTCTCCCGACGCAGTTAAACCGCTGATTAAAGTCTCGAGCCAATTAGTAGTGGCACCTGCTAACAGTGACGTCGTTCTTCACTGCTACGTCGAGTCCTGGCCGAAAGCTCTGAATACATGGTATAGGGACGATGGTGAGCATTATAATGTCGAATCTTACGTCATCATTTCTCAATGTCAGCGTTCTCGGTGTGACCGTGAGATCGCTCGTAATTTTGTAACACAAACTCTATCGCGAGATCTTACATCGATTGATTTTTATGTTACTATATATTTGTACACACAGAGAGCGGTTCCATTCGAATGAGTTATTTTGAGATTATCTTCGCGTAATTAAATCTGACTATTTATCGCATATCGGATCCTTTCAGACGATTAATCATCAAGAAGAACTTTATCCATTTCTGTACAATAAGGAACTAACAAGTCATTTATATTTGAATTCTGCAAAAGTAGAAGATTAACGTTTCTCCCCTTTCTACCTTCATTCGCTAATTTATCTCTATCAAATAATAATGTAGAATAAATCTTGCAAAGATAAATTGATACGACGGAAATATACTGTTGTCATTTCGCGTCTGAATGATGATATATTACAGATCAGTAATATAAAAACCGGCCGGAGAATATAGACCAATCTTATGGTTGACGGTTGTTGCAGGTGTGAAATTATTGTCCGATGAGAAACATGATCTAACGGAGATTCCGTTGAACGATTATGCGTATCAGTTGAACTTGACCGTCAAGAGACTAACTATGGACGATTTCGGTAGTTACACCTGTTCCGCGGAAAATTTACTGGGCAAAGACGAAAGAACGATAAGACTGCAAGGTAATCTTTTGTGACTTTTATATTATATATAAATTTGAAATGTTTCTCAAATTGTTTTCAAAACTTCCACTTCTATATTTGAAACATTCATACTTCTAGTATTAAAGTATAATGTTATTTATTTATAAAAAAGAAGAAATATATATATATATATATATATCTTTCAAACTTTTACTTCTACATTTAAAATAAAACATTGATATTTCCAGTATTAAAGTATAAAGTATTAAAGTATAATGTTATTTATTTATAAAAAAGGAAAAAAAATATACACACACACACACACATATAGTCAAAATCTGTACTGTATTCACGCTTGGAAAACTTTACCGCGGCTTTCTCTGACACGTGGAAAGCAATTATATTCGTTGATATATGTTTCTCATATATAAACCGATATCGGTTCGCCTCTGTGTGCTAGAGTAAAGGGAAAGGAACCAGAGTAAAGGGAAAGAAACTTAATCTTTAAAAGATAATAACCGTATATTCTCTGTAATATTCTTCTTATTTATATTATTGAAATGTGATTGAAAGTTAAATTATTATTTTCCTGTTGGAAAAGATCGATGCAAACGATTCATTATTTCTTGGTTTTTCGCTAAACTTTTATGTTTCCTATTTCATTTTACACTTCATTTCCTTCGTGTAAACAGTTAAAGAGTTACATCTGACGAAAACCACTTCAATACCTATTCGCCACAACATGGAGTTTTTGGACAAATACGGATCGAGGAAGCAAATGGATAGAAAGGGGAAGCACCATGGATTCGGGCGAGAAGCTGGTTCATTGTCGAAAAATGGAAATATGGGTCATACAACGCCGATGTTAAGGAGAAACAGTTCGAACGTGTTGACGGATGTCACGGTGAAAAAATCGAAAGTTTCATCATATCCGGCACCTGCACCTGCGCCAGCGCATTTTACGCCGACCCAACTGAGCGTTCAGAATAGCGTCACATCGCTGCGACAACACTCGCGATTAAACTGCGTAGGATTAATGTTCGCTTTCCTAGTGATAGTGATCTGTAGCTCGTAAACAATCGGCTGTTTTTCGAAATGTACGAAAAAGTACAAATCACCTTTCATGGGGATTCAACATTAGGGATTAAATGAGAACAGGGAAGGGTAATGAAAAGAAAAGGACGAAAGAAATGGCGGAGAGACGAGGAGAGAAAGAGAGAGAGAGAGAAAAAAATCCTTGAAAAAGATATCCATTTTATCCCAACTAGCGTTCGTTACGTTTTACGTTTTGAAAGTCATATTTTAGATTCACCGACAATGTTCCTTTATATCCTTCTTTTTTTTTATCTCCAGCCCGAGAGAAATGGACAGCGACGCTTCTATCGTGTAGTAAAGTGCACGCACAATCTTCGGGACTATAGGTGTTATTATTCACGCGAGTGTGATCATATCAAATTAATGTACGTTGTTCAGTGGTGAAAAAAAAAAAAAAAATAACGAACGGTTTTTTATGACAATAACTGTAGCTGTATACGATAAATCGGTAATGAAAAAAAAATCATCGATCACTGATCAAATGGTCGCGGACCGTTGTCGTTGTCAGATACACGTGTAGAAAATATATCTTCACCAAACCGATGATTATTCGATCTCTAAGTCACGCTGGCGAACGGCAGATGTGACGTATAGTTATTTTCGAACGCGGACAGTAATGTTAATTGTTTATATATATTTTGTGCGTGCGCATGTTGGAGGGACCGTTGTTCCTCGCTTTTCGCAAATTTTATTTCGAAAAATCGATTGCTCATGCATGAATGTGATCGAACGAACGGAACGTGGTCCATTTTCGCACATCGGTTCATGAACGTTCACATTAGTAACAAATGAATGTATTGTTTATCGATGTTAACGTCTGAGTTGTGTATCTGTGTATGTATGTACGACAATAAACGTTGTTTTTACCAATTGTTTCTTTAATTATCCTTTTTGTAAAATATTATTAATCTTTCTGCATTTATGAATATGATATTCATTATCAGACATGATATTCGCATGTATTATTCATTGTCAGATGTTTCCTTTAATTAAAATAAAAATCATTCGTATCGATATACATCCTGCAATTATATAAATTTATTGCTCCTCGGCTGTTTCATGGTAGTTCGAATGATTTTATATTCATAAAGAAAATTGATCCGAAAACCATCTTTTGCATGTTGCGTTTTCTAAAAAAAATAAAACACTGTTGTTTCAAATATATTAGCGAATCAAGCGTAACTTAATATCATTAGATAACGTGAAAAATATACAATATTTCCAACAAACAAATTTTTCAACTTTTCTTTTGCGTGAATATTGAAAAATGGAGAGTACGAGATTTCTCGTCTGTAGCATCGAATCAACGACGTTACGTCTCTAGATATCTCATTCACGGATGTAAACGAATCGAGCACAAATTTATTCAAGTAACTTTAAAAGGAAAATATAGAAGTACGGTAACATGCTCCTTCTCTTTTTTTTTTTTTACATGGAATATAAAACGACTTTTTCAATCGGTGACAGAGTCCGATTCTCTTATCAAAAGAGGAAAACGTAATAAGAAGGATACGCCACCCACGCGATTCAGTTGCGCATCGCCCGAGGTATCAGAAACACACAGTTAATTAAACGCTCGTGTTCAACGTCGGTTTCTGTCTCGCGCGAATCATGAAGCATCTGCTAAATACACTTTTCATCTTTAATCTATTGGTAAACGTCATGGCGGACCCGATCAATTGTCAAACCATTATCGAGACACGAGATAACAGTGTCACGTTCTTCTGCACGGAGGTAACGAGTTTAATGGTATTGGAGAAGGCGAATATCAACAGTACGTACATCGAGATTTCGGATTCGAGAATAACTGATGTACCAGGGTAAGAGAAGAAATCGTGCTACTACTCCGAACTACAAAATATACGTTTAAATTGAAATTCAGTTTGTTCGGCAAACTCATGGTTTGCTGATGCAATTCCCGAAGGAGGGGGCAAGCATTTAGTGAAATATGAGAGTAATAAATAAATGACTAATGACGATGAAAATTAATTACAATTAAAGTACTTTGCTACCTAAATGTGTGGTTTGTTCTCGTAGATATAGTTTCGCAAGATTTGCCGCCAGCCTCATAACTTTGGATCTACACGGATCAAGCATACGGACAGTATCTTCTTCGGCGTTCGTAGGCCTCGGAAAACTGCAGAATTTATTGCTGTGGGGCAATAAATTGAAAGTCGTGCAGCATGAATGGTTTATCAACACGTACAACTTGAGAACTTTAGATGTGTCGTTCAACGATATCGAGGTAATAGAAGACAGTGTATTCGAGCTGCTTCCCAATTTGGAGAACTTCTATTTCGATTATAATAAAATAAAATTCATCAACTACAATATGTTCGCGTATCTGCGAAACCTTAAAAATGTGAAGTTCGAGAAGAATCCGTTGAACTGGGGGTAAGTATATCTGAAACTTCACCGTTTCCGGTTTCCAGTTGAAATTAGTTGCGGAAAAACACGAGACGCAACCCTTTCTCTTCTAACGTCATTATCAAGTATTCTCTTAAAAGCTCTATTACATGCATGTACGGCTACATTTTCGAGATAATTAAGATATAATTGACTGCTGATGTAATATTATACGACCTATTCTTAGTATGAGAAAGTAGGCCAATTATTACATAATTAATTCTAACGGGACGAAAGCGGCATTTAGTTTTTTAAATTCTTATCCGTGTTTGTTAACAGTAGAAATTTACGATCTTCTGCTATTTTGAAGAATGCGCATATAAATCTAAATATTTTTTTTTTTTTAAATGAAGCATGTTATATTTCAGCGTGTAAGACAATTAATTCGTTTTATAATTTATAGATACCGTGCGTATTTAACATGGCAATTGGAGAATCAGCAGGTGAGACATGGTGAAGATTGGGAGGAATGGGGATGGATGAACGTCGTTATCAAAGAGTGCTCGCAAAGTGGCTACGGGGAAATACCGAAAGATACGGTTCTCGATTGCATCGTTGAAAATTTACTGAACTACACATACGAAGTGTTTTCCACGAATATGATACAACAGAACGTCAATTGTACCGCGAAAGCTCGACAGCTAGTACACTGTATGAAACCTAAAAATGTCACCAGGAATATGGATAACGAGACTGCGAGAAGAATACTTGAAGATTACACGGCGATACTGCCGACGATGTCTAGATCAAATGCAAAATTCTGTACATCGTCATTAAGCATTTCTTAAGTTTACGTATTAAATTAATTAAATATCAAAATATATCTGTTGCTTGTAAATGTATGTTTAAGTTACATATGTCAATCGGAAGTTAGGTATGAAACAAAAATTTGTTTGACTATTTGAATATCTAAATTACGATGTATCTAATTCTTCGTATATTTTAACCTCAATGAAATTATTTGAATATATGTAAATTAATCGCTGTTTGTATTTCAAGACTTTTCGTTACTAAAATCATAGTTGAATGTATCACAGTTGTGCAGTCTAACGTCCCTTAAATATGGTGGCAATGTGTAAATATATTTGTGAATGACAAAATGTTCATTCTTTATAATATTAAAAAATATTTCATTAGCATGCAGATGTCATCCGATTGTAACAATATACAGATTAGAAGGACCACGTTTGGAATTTCCTATTTCATATTCAGAAACGGTTGGATATTTAAAGCAAATGGTATCTAAACTTTTGGATGAAAGGAACCTAAATTGGAAACCGGAGAAAATGAGATTGTGGCTTCGAGGATTTTATATGGAAGATAATCGTATAATTTCTGATTATAAATTAAATTCTAGAGATCGAATAATGCTGCTTCTTGATGATCCTTGTTAATATAAATTTTTGAACAAGGTGAATGCTTCATAGTTTCTTCCCTTTTTTGCGTAATATGTAACGATCTCATTAAACGTTAATGAAACGTTTAATTTTAAAAGTCTGTAAGACTTTCTCTGCAGAAACTTCGAGATTAAGTTTTTTTGTTCCTTAATTGCAAGTTTTTGAAAACTTCATATGACAAGTTTGGAGTGCTTGATTCTTTTTAAGATAAATTAAAATAACTTCGATCTTGAATTGAATTAATATATATTTGAGAAAAAGAATTATAAACAGGCAATTAAATATGCTTGTTTATTTTTATGTTTATATAGTTACACTTTAGCGTATTGATAACAAAACAACTAAACATAAAAGATTATTATCATTGCTTATGTACAACTTTGAAACTAAAAAAGAATGGTGGCATTAAATCTGGAAATCAAATCAATTAGTAAATAACTCTATGATTTTCACAGATTAGATTGACATATTTGATTATTTTTTAAATGAATAGTATATAGTTTCACTAATATGTGTATTAAAATTAACTTAATATGTATTTAAAACATATGTTTAACGTAGAGAACCTGCGATTGCCAGATTTTCTAAACTCGATCTTCCTTTGTTAAAAGTCTACTTTTAAAAAATATGCTTATTCTTCGATTTTCATTTGTAATAGATAATATTACAATTAAAACTTTTATTTCACTATTTCATTGTTCAAAAATAAGCGCGGCGTTCCATGATATTTCAATCATTAAAAATGTGTTTTACCATCATAATTGAATAAAATTGTAAATATATTCCAATCACGCTTTTTCATATCAATATATTTCAAAAATTCAGTTAAAATTTTCATTTCGGTTGTAAAAATTTTCCGCTAAAATCTTAATTTTGTATCAGAAACGCAAAAATTTAGTTTATAATATTTTCTTGATGTTTCTGTCATCATGCTTTCGGATCTCTACGTTATAAATAATATCAATGATCTTTGCATGTTCAATTATAAAAATCATTTTAAAGAAGTAAAAGAACGTTGTTTAATTATAATTTTTTCCCCTATTCCAGCTGACTGGTGACCCAACCACAGGATTAATGCCTAGCTTTTGTTCCATGGAATAGTGCTCGTTTTCCCGTTCTACTGTTTGAAAACAGAAATATCATAAACAAAGAAATATCCGTAAATCATAGCTACATTTACTACCAGCTTCATTTTACTAACTTTTTAGTTTTTAAAAAATTTATTGAGTTAAAATTCGTTAAATTATTAAAGCAATGCCTGCGTTACATGTTTCTAAGTCTAATTAGGAAACAAAGAAATAAAGAAATAAATCTTCATGTATTTAAAGCCTCGAGAAAAGTAGACACCAAAATTATTCGAATCGTGAAATCGAGATGAGTGACATTCGTGAGAACGTATTAAATTACATTCGTTCGTCTCCACGTAAATTCGAACGTGAAACGTACCTGGTTTCGTTTGTCATTCTTAGAAAATATTTTCATTTTATACTTACCGAAATTCTGGTATGTAGTAGCTATGAATTGATACATCTTTGAGCATGCACCGATAATAGCGTTTTGCTTCGTTGGCACTGATTCTCCGTGATACTCGAAGAGGACATTGCCTTGTTTAACAATAGATATCTAAGAAAATGAAAGAAAAGAAAACACACAGTATAAAATTAGAAATTAGACAAAAGTATGTATCTAGAGAGAATAAAAATAAATATATCAATGAATATAATCGTATATACTTACTTTACACATAAATGTAGATCCGTTTTCTGCGCGTAAACAGTTGAAGGAGCAAGTAGCATTAAACTTTTCTTTAATGAAGTTCTGCAATCCAGTCATATGTATTGAAGTTATATCGGATATATTATTGGCGTTCATGTCCACGACATTTTTACCGTTGAACTTTTTCATTGGTGTGTATTTAATGTGACTTTGCTCAAGTTTATATGGATTCGACTTTGCTACAGCTTCATTGATACATCGTTGTCTTTCTAAGACTTTTGTGGCTCCGATTGGTTTTGCCCAACGTATTTCCCAACCTTCAATATCAGCGATACCGTTGCGTCCTGTTGCATAGTTCTTGTTTTAATAAAGCGTGTATAAAGATTAAAAGCAAAATAAAAAATTACATAAAATAATACGCGTACTTGTCATAATGTCCATCACAGTCTGCGCTGTCTGGCGACTTTCATAATGTATAAACGCGAAATGATTAATTTTCTTTAATTTTAAAATAGGAATTTTCGTATGTTTCTGAAAGATGTCCCGAATTTTTTGTTGTGGCATGTCCAAAGATAAATTTCGTACGAATAAAGCGGTAACCTATAAACAACAGAAAATGCTATAAATATCCGTTATTTTATCATTGGTATGAAAAATTTTTTTTACAATATAGGATTCTATATGACAATATGGTATACAACAAAATAATTTTCATATAGTTTGAAGCAGCTTACATTCTCCATAACTTCTTCGTCGATAGGATCACCAGGTTCAGGATCAGCCCAGTCAACCGCGATTTCGTGGTCCCATAACATGACTCTTCCAGGTATCAACTTTCGTCTTGCCATCGCGGCTGCTCTGTGATCTTTAAATTCGACAAATATGAAACCTCTATTCAATGTTTTATCATGTGCACTTGGATACAGGTAGATATCAGTAATGCCGTCGAGTATCTTGTTCAACTCTTGCATAAACTCTTCCTTGCTTTTGTTCTTGGGTACACCGCCGAAAAATAATCGACAATTATCAACTGATTTTACGACGCCAATTGGATGTCCAGGTCTGATTTCATAACCGTCAAGTTTTGCGCATGCGTTCCTTGCTATCTTTGAATTTTCGAACAAGGCAAATGCATATCCGCGAGTCGATCCAGAAAAGTCGAGCATCAATCGCAGTTCAATCAGACGACCGACCATTTCCAGCATCGGCATTAATTCGTCCTCGTAACAATCCCGTGGAAGACGACCGAGAAAAACTTCAGCCCCCTTCACGCGTTGTTTCTCACCACGAATAATTTCCGGAGCAGTCAAACGGCGTTGCCCATTTTCTTGTACCAATTCGTATTTCGTTCTTTGCAACATTTCCAACAACTTGATCGTCAACTGGCACTCTCCTACATTATTCTCGTGTAACTTTTTTATTGCGTTCATTGTAAATTAGAAAGAAGAAATCTCAATCTCGCAATCACACAACGGGAAAACAACCTGACTAAGCAGACTGTCCAGAACTAACTGATCTTTCTGTACTTTTTTCCTTATACTTATCCCCTTCTATCTCCTCCCTATCCCCACAGCCAAACGTTTGTAGAAATATGAGAAACCTTACTCTTCAAATAGACCAATCAGTGGTCGAGTATCACTGTCAATATAGCTATATGTTTTCAGGTAGAGCAAGAAAACAAATACGTCGGATCTATGGTTGACTCGAGTGCAAAATTTAGACAGTGCATGTGTACCTAAAAAAACAAGATAATAAGTAGATATTAACAAGTAAAAGTAAATTAAATTATATTAACAAGTAAATAGGTACTTAAAAGTTAATAGGTACTTAAAAAGTATAAAAATTAATACAAGGAAGTCACTGATTGTAATGACGGTAATTATGTATTTCTATATGAACGAACTCTTGTGTATACTAGTCTCTCTTTGCATGTAGAAACACTATGAAAAATTATAACATTTGCTGTTCTAAATTCATATCACATAAGTTGCGTAAAATTAGCGTAATTATGCAACAAGGATTATCAATTGGCACTTTCGGTTAGTTAACCTCTATCCATTCTATTTACGCCTATTCCGTGAATTTAAAAAATTGTTATTTCATAATTACTAATGAGTGGCTTTAATTTTTCGTCTAATTAAAATTGAATGTTTTTCAATGAAATTTATTTAATTTGTTACTTGACAAACTATATAATAAACATTTTAACCACAAAATCTTTCTCGTAATGCGAGATCTTTGTTATTGATATCGTATTTCAAAGATTATTATTTGGAAGATCAGATACATTAAACACATAAAAAGACAAAGAATTACGTAATATTTACAACTCAATCTAAACTTTACAAAGTTTCTTTTGAATTTCTAGACTAAACTGTAGATGTCTATATTATAATATATCTATATTATAATATATATACTTCCATTGTGATGTACATGCTTAACAATGACATTCAGAAGTATCTGAATTTATAGTATATATGACAAAATGTATCGATTTTTAATGTATTTTATATTTGTGCTTTAAAGTATAAATATGTATTTCATTTCATACATAAAATTTTATAGGAAAATTACTGAATCGGTAATGTTGGGGATGACATCACAGACAAGGGAGATACATTGGAGATGCATAATGGGAAAGATATTATGCACAGACGAAGTACATATATAAATAGACTTAACATTACAGATCAGGTATATGAATAAACAAAACATCCAGTATATTTTTTTGTGCCACAATAAAGAGGTCCTAGGATTTCCTTACCATTTTCGAATCATATTCTGTCATACTGATTTAGGTACCTATTAAAGTGGAGACTTCATTTTTTGAAATAAAATCAAGTTAATTGTTCTACAACTTTTTTTACGAAATTATAATAGTTTAAAATATTAATAATTTTTCATTTAGCATAGTATTTTCGTTCTTTCATTTAGCATAGTATTTTCGTTCTTTCTTAAGAATTTCTCATGAAAGTTTTATGTATTTGATTTAGCCCAGAGTTTTTTATTTTTATTTTTTATTCAAAGTTAACATTTTGCGCGCATATTGGGTTTAAATTAATTAAAGATACAGCGCCAACGGCGAAATACGGAATACACTTCCTACGATTCTCGAACGTAATCGATATTTCGCACGATCGATTTTAAAGCAGGAATAATGGCGGAAGGAAGCACGCCTCGTCTGTAAAGAAGAAAGTGTTATTCAGAAAAGTCAGTCAGAAAGAAATATCATTTATAAGTTCTCAGGTAAAAATTTAAATCAATAGTTGTTAGATTTGTGTTTTGAATTTTTAAGATAAAGTGTGCATTTTTGGCTTCAACTCAAAGCAAGATTTAACCAAATAATTATTACATATAATTTTCAATAATTAAAGAAATAATAGCATATAAACATTTAAAGAGAACATACTATACTAAAAGTTATATATAATTTTATACCGAAATTTTAATTCTAACTAGTGGAAACATTGTAACCTTGTAATTGACTAACTCATTGTTATATATATACATGCATTTTATTACATGCTTTTACATTTACATTTACACATCTATCATAACTTTTTCTATTTATTTGTTAATTCTTTAACTTCATATTGTGTAATTTTCAACAATTCTAATACCAAATTCAACAATAATTTATTAAGAATGTACGTATTTAATAGTTAAAATAATAATTTTACTGCGTAATATAATAAAATTTTCCATTTCTCAAGTAAGATGCAGAAGGTCTTGAAGCTCGAAATTCAAAACAACAACACGAGCACAATGTTTATGTTCGTCTTAATAATCGTGCCTGTTCAAGATCACCCCATCCCTCACTACTTTCTCAATTGCAGGACGAGACGTGTCGCGAAGAGTCATTCGGCTGTCGAATTTCGTGACAACACGTTGCGTCGCATTAGGTTCGTAACTTTTTCTAACCTATTGTTGGCGTCTCTTCGATAGCGTCGCTTCTTTAACACTCTTTTACTTCCATTTATACCCTTATTAATAATATCATTTAATGAATACGCGCGTGTTTAACGATTCAATAAGCATTGCGATAACGAAATCGTGTAATGCTTTGAAACTTTTCGTGCCAATTTTTCTTCAGTCGTCGATTTTACTCGTAGTTACCAGTAGCTTGTCTCATACGTTTCTTTTGTATAATTTGAAGTTGATTGTCGTTTCATTCTTACACATTTGCCTTCCTTTGATATGTTTGTTCTAATTTTTGGTTTCTTTTGCAGATCATTTTTGATTCCGAGAGATAAGATAGAACACATAGACGCCACGATTATTAATGGACAATTTGATATACTTTCACGGAAATTTGGTAACATTTTATTTATTTTGGGTAACATTTGATACATAATTTATATATATTTGAGATATAATTTGGAATATATAATTTCGTAATTATTTGAAATGCGAAGATGAAAATAAAGAAGATTAAATCAATTAATGTTTTATTTCAAATAGCGTAGCTTAATATTATACTTCATGGATATATGTATATTCTTGTATTAGGTTATTAAATTCAAAGTTTACTATACTCTACTATACTATACTTGCTTTTTTCAAAACGATTGATGCGCAATTGAATGATTCAAAGCAAGATTTCACACACGTTTTTCGCAATATGATTTCTTAAGTATATTTAGCTGTGAAATTTTGATTTCTGCAAACATTTTCGAATATTTCTAACACGTGATATATTATTAATGTGCATACTTCCTACTCTAATAACGAACATTCAGAATACAATTTCTGCAAATATTTGTCTTTCATTTACAGTATTGAGAAATATTTTAATACGTATTGAATATCTTTAATACAAGTTTTTAACTTTATTCAAGTTTTTTTATAATCATATTCTAGAAAAATAGCAGTATTTTCTAAATGAACATATCTTTCGCCCTTCTCCTACTAATCAGCTTTATTTTCAGAAGATTTTTGTGACCGCGCGCAATGCGGTCGGTAGAGTCAGTGTTTGTTGCGCAATATTTTAATACTTTTCTGAGCAAAATGACTCTCATTAATTTAGATTTTTAATCAATTTAAATTATAGTTCGCGAAGTTAGAATCAGTGAGTTCGCCGATTGTTTACTTAAACATGCGCGTCGACAGTCTCTTATTTTTCTTTTTTTGTACTTTTTCTTGTTCAGCATTCGTTTTCGGTATTAGAGTCAGTGCTCAAGAGGATAAAGCCTTTCCTGGAGATCAAGATCGTAAGTAATTTTATATATTCTATATCAATTTATTCAATTTTTAAAATCTAACAACAAAGTATAATATTTGATGTTTGTTACAGACGCTTCACATTTTTTTGCATTTTTGGGGGAAAATCCAAAGGTGGCTCTAAAGCCAAGAATGTAAGAATCCTTTATTATCTCCAACTTAAGATTTTTTTTTTTGCTTTTAAATATAAATTCTAATGTTTTGTTACAGATTTTCTACAGCCTCCACTTCCCCTAATTCTCCAAGGATCTTATGTTTAAAAATGTAAGTACTATAGCATGTTGAATATAAAATTATAATTATAAAATAAAAACATTTCAAATTATTAATCTCAATTTTTATCATTATTAAAATTTAAATTTTCACAAATAACACTAAGTCTTTAGAAATAAAATGTTTTATGTTTTTTAAGAAATTTTTCACGGCGTTTACTTCCACCACGGAATTCTCAATGGTATCTACTTGATGAGGATCGTGATATCTTTTCCTGCTTCAGTGCAGCATCGGTGATAACGTTCTTCACATCTATCTCGTAAGTCGCATGCATTTATGTTCCTCCGGTCACTCAATCATGTCGTAGGACGAAAGGTCCAAATCGGCATGAGTGATTGGTTGTATACGTAGAATTTTTGATGAGCATAATGACCGCGGGTATTTTTTATACCTGTGAGTAGTAACATTTTTTTCAGGTTTTGTATGTATTAGATCAGGATAGGGCTTCTTGCACATCGCGATTTTATCAATTAAAATATATACATTTGTAGTAATTACTTATCAAAATATCTTCAATAAAAATGTTTGCAAAAATAAAATATTCATATAAATGTTCATAGACAAATTATAAATATTTATAAATAATTATTATTAAAACGATTTTCATAGTAGAGAAGACGGATACCCTCCGACTTCGTTGTTATGAAAGATACAGTTGTTGATATTGGTGATATATTTTCTTATGATAATTAATAATTAATACTTGTTATAATAATTAATAATTTTCAATTTCATCTTCCCTTTTATAATAGTATTAAATGATTTAATTAATTGAGTTTCATAATTATCAACTTTACTAGAATATGAAATATAATAGATTAGAATTTTTTCCGCAGAAAAATGTGTGAAATTTTATGTGCAAGAAGATACTTCGCGACAGGCAGATTTTTGAATCAAAGCAACAAGTTTGGACACTGCTTTCGTATTTTCGAAAATGTGCTTTGATAAAAAGGTCGCCTGAGATTATTTCTATCAATATTTAATTTGAAGTCGATTGTTTGATTTTGATTGTCTGAAGTTGTTAGATTATTCATAGTATCCTTTTTAACAAATTTAATTCCTGTTCATTGTCTTTATTCTCTTGCAATTTCAATAATTTCTGAAAGAGTAGAGTCATTATAGTTTGGAATAAAATAATGCAATAGTCCGTTAGATACAAATTACATAAACTAATCATCTTTTTTAGTTCAGGATTTTCAGGTTTAACCTCTTCCGTGTTCATTGTCAGGATCTCACTCACGTGCCCAGGTGCTACTTGGGTGGGTGAAAGATATTGGGCATGACGACCATAGTTTGTAATTTTATAAAAAATTTCTCAGCGACTGACAGTGTGTTAGCGTATCGTGCACGACGTATTTTCCGCATGTGTGTGTGTGTGGTTAGGATGTGGAATTGCGTCGTTTTTATTGCTCTATTCGTTAGAGGTTGAAATATTTATGCACTAATTTGAAATATGAATTTATTACAATAATACCTATTAAATACAGTATAATTATATTATTAATAATACTATGAATATACAATAGTGATTTCAAATCAACTTGCACATATAGTTTCTGTAGAAATTATGTATCTTTCCTCACATATAGCTGTAAATATAAATGTGTTTTAATCACGTTTTACGCAATGGTCGTTAGCCATTGTCAGTCGATTTCAGGAAAATGGTACGTAAATTAGAGTGTGAAAGTTGAATGTTAAACTCGGGTGTCGGAGGCGTCCCGGGACGTCCTCTCTAGTTTAGGTCTGCGTCCGAGTGGTATGTGTGAGAACCGAGGAGTGAATGTGTTGGTGTGCCTGTTTTGCCATTTTTTAAATATAGGGCGACTGGTTAGGATAGGTAGCATACTTTCTGGCGTGAATGTGTTTAATTATAAGTAGGTAGGGCCGGGCAGGTTGGCCACAGTCTCTGGTCGCGTGCCCCCTTTTCGCGTGTCCAACCTGTTTTAGGAAACCTAATTTGAAAAATCGACAGTGAAATTGGTACAAATGGAGCATGCCACTTGTTTCTGGTTTCACTCTTCGGTTTTTCGAATTTAGTATCGCGATCGCGGTCGCGGATAGGTCGCGAGTAGGTTCCGAAACGAACGTTTGTGTAGGTATTGCTCGAGCACGCACATGCGAAAGGACAACGATCATTATGATCGATGGTCGTCCGTGTGTATTGAGGTCAGCTTCCGCGGCTTATTTTTTTATTTCACCTTTATAAGTTATTTTTTGGTTTGCGATTAGAAAGACTCGAGCTAGATGTAAGTTTCAGCGGGTATTGCGCTCGAAGAAAGAAGAGGCTAGAAGCCGAAGAGGCCTGGCAAACTGCCACGAAGAGGGTCACAACAAATGGTTTCTCATCCTCTGGATTGTTCAAATGATTCCAAAGCATGGGAAGTCATTCTCGTTACTACTGTGTCATTATGCTCTTTTAGTATTTGTAGTTGTATTTTTTTTTGTCTTCTTCTTTATCATCGTTCATCATCGTTTTGGGCAAATCGCGGTTTTTCTTGCTAATGTTGCGAGAAATGGATTACGGGTTGAATTAGAGTTGTAAAATAGTTTCATGCCTGTTTATTAGCGTTGCGAGAAATTGATTACGGTTTAAGTTAGAGTTGCGAAAAAAAAAATGATAATCGTGTTGTCTTAGAGTTGCGAACTATGATACCGCGAGTATCCTTTGCAATTTTGATTGTGAATTTTTATAATTCGTATTATACACACATAGTAAAATTTATCTTGTTTTCTATTGTTTCGATTAAATTAATGAAGTCATTATTTTTAATTAATTTTAGAGTGTTAGAGTATTAGCTTTTTGTTCGTACAATTTTGTATTGTTCGTAATAATTTTCATTGAATTTAGTTTTAGAGTTAGTGCTGCGACATTGTTTCATCGCGATTTCCAATAACTTTTACTCTTAGTGTTACGGTAATGAACGATCGCGTTTCTTGAAATAGCGTTGCTTTTACAAAATGCCCAAATTCTTCCACTGGATTCATGGAAGGCTGTTCCTGCTTCTGGATCATCTGATGCAGCTACAAGAGCTGTAAAGAGATGATCATTCATCAGCAACCTCCAGCAAGGTTACACTGGACGCGTCGCAATTAGTGTTGCGTATTTTTAAACATGAGTGCATAGATTAATAGCGTTGCGTACTTATTTTCGGGAGTTTTAAACATGACGAAACACTCTTCGCGTTTGATTTTGAAAATTTTCTAGTTCACAATTAGTGGTAGTAAATTAATGTTACAAAACAAGATACGGTACAGTGGCCCTTCTGGTTATTGTATTATTAAGTAGGAAAGGCTTGTTTTTAGTAGCCCTTCTGGCTATTGTATTGTAGTCTTTTTTCTCACTGGCCCTTTTGTCTACTATAGCGCGATTTCTGTTTCAGTAGCCATTCTGGCTATTGTTTCAGATTTTCTTTGTCAGTAGTCCTTCTGGTTACTATGTTAGATTTTCTTATTCAATGCCCTTTACTGCTCCGTTTGTTACTGAAAATACTGCTAAAAAATGTATATTTTTTTATTAGCTGTAATTTTGTTATGAATTTTAGAATGTAGAATTTTATTATAAATATACATATATAATATATATACATATATGAAAATATACGTAATTAGTAATTAATAATAAATACGAGTAATAGAAACAATGAGAAAACGTGAGAAAAACACGTTTTTGTTTTATCAAGATTATATGTTTCCTTTTTTCAATATCTCAAGATATTGATTTATAAGATTATTTGATTTCTTTCATCATACGTGAATGTATATAACAGATTATTTTTATTTCAACTTCACAATAAAATATTTCTCATTAATCATCAAGTAGCACGAAGCTCAAGACAATATCAAGACAAATGAATTTATCATGTTTTGCTCATCTATCGCATTGGTTTTTCTTTAATCTCTTCTTGCTGTTTGCTTTGTCGAACGACCACAGATAAGTAAACAGAAGAACGTTTTGTAAATATACAGGGGAAAGAGGAATTTGTATAAGACGAATTAATTTTAAATTAATTTTACGTTTAAAAGGAGGATGAGTAGGATGTGTTTGAATAGGTTGTGTTTTTTCTTAAAAATAGGAAGTACTGGATTTAGAGAAAAATTTTCCTCAATAAAAAGATAAAAAGATCCTCAGTAAAATATAATGAAGTAAACTTCATTTTTAACTAAATGATTTTATTGGTCAAAATAATTTTCATTATATTCAACAAACTTCTATAATAGCTTGAATAAAATAATTAGACAACTGTCCAAATCGTAGAGAACAAAAGAAATGTTACATGTCAGATATAATCTACAACTGATATAAGTCTTAAGTAGTGGCTAAAATATAATAGGGACATAAAAACAGATTATCAAGATCGGTATTATTAAATTTATTTAGACAATTCGAAGTTATGCATAAGCGTTGAGGAAATATCCGTATAACGTGTTTTGAAATTATACAACGAATTTATTATCAAATGAATAAATGCAACGAACGTTATACAAAAGTAATAGGTGTCATATACAGAACGTCAATGTAAGCGTGACTGAAATTTCTACAATTGAACGTTTATATAATGTGCACCGTTTATATAATGGAACCGATTGTATTTTACACTTATACTTTGTTAATCTATTAATCGTAACGGGTGTTATAAATCAATGCAACGACATGTGTCTGTGCTAAAGCTACCAAGCTTTTGGAAAACGATACATCACTTCTTGCACTCTTCACCAGGCATTCATGTCCATTTAAAACATTGTACATTGAAGTCAGATTTATTCGAATTGAAAGCACATATAGGAAATAAGAGGCAATTTCTAGTTTTATCTATTTTCGAAACATGCCGGTCGGGTATATATGCTTTCAACCCGCGTGTTTTCGTCGATCAACTACATTGATTCTTAATAACGTTATTTCTTTGCTATTACACATTAGGTATCTACTTACATGTCCTTCTTTCGCGATCGAAGGATGGCTTATCAGTGCCAATTTCTGTACACGATCGATAGTTAAAATAAAGTTGCGTACATGGCACTAAACAACATCGTAGAGTACGAATCTAATAATCTTAAGCATACAAAAATAAATTATAATAATGATCATGTATCTCTGAACTTATACATGTACAATGAATACTATATTATATGTACGTATATATATAATATATATATATAGATATATAAATATATTTTAAAGTACAATATCCCTTACTCTTGATTTAGAGTACAATTAAAATGCTCTTCTTCTCTTAATAATACACACTAGAATATCTAGGAGAATTATCTAATGTGTGCCGAATAATCTGAAACTATTCTTTTATGCACAAAGAATGCCCACAATTAAATTTTCGACAAGTGATCCGTGCTTGTTGTACTTGCACAGAAACGACTGTACAAATCTTTCTTCTCCGAACCATGAAATTCCGCACGAACAACAAGCAGGAGTACAAAGAAAAGAATTTAAGATAACGTGCTATCGTGAATATTATTTTCCTATAGAGAACACATTGATCGTTTAGCGCGTGCTTAAAACATAAGCATAGTTAATACATTATTTTTAAAAATATATTACACCAGCAATGTACAGTTCTCCTAGACATTCTTGCTTCACTAAACCCACCATTGCATTTGCTGGTGTACACGCTTTGGCTGCAGCAAATTACCTGTACATACGAAATTAAAATTTATACTATTAGTTTAAATATACTTTTTAATGTACAAGAGTCTATATCGGAAAGTATATGTATAAAAGAATATATTTTTAGTTTAAATATACTTTTCAATATACAAGACTCTATATCGGAAACTATATGTATAAAAGAATATTTTTAGTTTAAATATACTTCACAATATACAAGAATCAAACTGAGATTATTTGTAGGGAAGAGTAGTAGATATATTTTCTCGTGTTTTTTTTTTTTTTTTTTTTTTTTTTTTTTCATTAAGAAATATAACAAATGTTTTTATATATTCCTTTCGATTTTGTTATTTTATTCGTGAGATATACATTTTCCCGTCAGACAATAGTCACATCTCACTATGTAGATATGTTATTTATATACGTACCTATATAGTTTAAGGAGTTTAGTAAATTACAGACTTGTAAAGGCACAGAACGAAACGACTAGGAATAACGTTGCAATGTCTAACACGGGTTGAGACGCCGATCCTTTAACTGACAACATATTAAATATTCATTAGAATCATTTTCATTTGCAAACGGATATTATTATTCAATGTGTAGGTGTTTGCGTGGGATATTTACCATTATCAACTTGCTCATCCGTGTATTCTGCAAAGCAATCGGGAAAAGGAAACTTTAGTAAAACAACAATTTCATTATACATCGAACGATTGCAAAAGTCATCTTTCCGTCTTCTTACCTCCTACAAATTCGTGTGGATCCGACGGTAGGGACCATCCAAAATCATTTCTAGCCATAAGGACTGCTTCGTACGATCCAGGTTCATCTACTGGGACCATATATTCGACAGTGAACTGATATCCCCTGCCATTCGTTACCGTAGGCTTCGCAACTGTCCAATTTTCGTCTCCTTTGCGACGATATTGTAGCTGCATTGTACGTTTTAATTATCATTAATTATTATATAAATAGGTATTATATAAATGCAAAAGCAGCAGGGGAAAATAACATTTAATTACCTTGTATTCGGTAATCGGCGAATGGCTTTCCAATTGCCATTTCAATATCAATCCCGAGGCGGTCTTTGTCATCTCACCACCGGAAATTGTCGCTTGAGTAGGAATACCTGTGAAACAAATTTTCATTTCAACGTTGTTTCAAGTGTTCTCGGACTTTCGAATCTTTTCACCTTCAGTTACTGAAATTTACCGAGCCCCTTCGAACACTCAGATTCTCGAATACTTTGAAATTTCCAAACTTGCGAGACTTGCGGTTATGTGTCCTCGATTTTACGGATTATTTTACTTTCGAATTGTCACGCCTAAGTGAAAAGGGAAGAAAGTCGTACCGGTGAGAGAAATAATTTTCTCCGTTCGTCCCAGTCTATTCTCCGCCACGCACATGTAATTTCCCAAGTGTTCCTTTTTGGTATGTAGGATCTCGAGGATGTGCCGCGTTCTGTTCACTTTGATCTCTATGCTGCCCTTTTTCGGTAATACTTCTTCCTGATCCTTGAACCACGTCACTTTAGCACGCGGATGAGCGTGCACGTTACATGTTAACCGTGATTCAACTCCGAGCCCGGTATGCACCCATTTTCCCTTGCCGTCTATTTCGGGACCATCTATGAAAACAAATATACATTTTCTTTCTTTCTTTTTTTTTTAATGTACGATTTATTCGAAAGTAAAATTCATTCAAATATAGAATAGTAGGCTATCGCGGCGACGAAATTGAGCGTCGTGAATTCTTACAATTGACAATGACGGTAATAGCTTCCACAGGTGGATTTTCCATTCCGTTCTCGGCCAAACACTGATAACGGCCACCGTCGTGTTTGTTAATGTTCGTGATAGTTATGTAGTTGCCAGAGATGATCACGTTGCTGTGGACTCTCTCGTTCTGTGTAAAATAAAAAATAGAGAAAGGTGTGAAATGCTTTTGCATCCGAGTAAACATCGCCAATAGTTTTCCGTGTGACGAAAATCGTAATTTCCCGCGACCGTTGCTTTCCCTTGATCAAACATTCCAATACTATTTTTCTATCTATGTTTAACTTATTAAGTACCGAGCAATGAAGCAACACTTACAATGAAGCAAATAAATGTTGCGTAAAAGGAAAGATTTGAAATGAAAACGAATGGATTCTTCTGCTTTCACATAAACGGGCAAAAATCTTATTTTCTTACCTCGTGATACCATTTTATCTCGGGTGTCGATTGTATCCTTGTTTCACAGCCGAGTGTAACGTTTTCACCAGCGTTGACTTCCACCTTTTTCGCGGGGATGACACGTATCAGTGATGGTGGTTTGTATTGCTCGGTTGGCGGCAATGCTGGCGAAGCCGGAGATGGCTCCGAAACTACCATCAGTTTGTGTTTGATCGTAATAGGCGGGTTGTACAAGATACTACACTCGTAATCGTCCGAAGTATCATTGACCGTTGCATTGTATATTACTAATGTGTTGTTCGGTAATCGAACAATCCTCTGATTGTCCGGTTTCATTGCATTCGAGTCATAGTAGATGTATTCGTCGTCCTTCTTCCACGTGACCGTGAATCTGTCTGAAATATTCGAATTTGGTCAGGTGTTGCAGATACATGATACACGTATTTTAGATTTGTATCTTGCGTTCGAGGAACGTTATGCGTAAAATTAATTACAAACCTGCATTTTTCAATAGACAGTGCAGATATACTGTGGTCCCGTTGCTTACGCGTATATTGTCAGACTTGGATATGATTTGTGGTACAACATCATCAGGTGGATCCTCGTCGTCGACCGTATCATCGTTGTAGTCGGATTCGTCTTCGATGTAATCGGCTCCTTCAGAATTCTTAGATGGTTTGCACCAAGCTGTAACCAAAAGAAACATCACTGTTTTAAAGCGCAAAATTTTATTTTATTTTATTTTATCTCTCTAAATTTTATTTAACCATTTTAATATTCCTTAAAGTCATGCTTTGCTTTCGATATGCTATTCGTGCCACTCGTGCGCTTTATTGCCACGAGAGTCAAGAAGTACGAATGCAAAAATCGTGATCTCATGCTCACGGTTGGTCGTGGACGTACTAGGACCTCTTTTGACATTTACGATTCACCGAGCGAAATCCATTCACTTAACCTATTCGGTGATGTTGCACATAGCGTGTGCAACTTTTTCTTGTTGGCACGTAGCATATAACGTTATACAAACATTGAATTTAGAGTCATATTATATTGACGACGTTAATAAAGATAACGATATCGATGCGCGTGCAACTTTTTCCAAGTTACTTCTTACTCGGAAAGGTTAATCACGCGAAATATCGCAATAATATTGTACATACGTGTAACTCGTTCAGAATTACGCTTCGCTGAAACGATTAATCATCGGGAATCTTGGTATCAACCTCGTGTTCAATACACGAAAAAGAACGGATCCATTGTTACAGAACGCATGGCTGACAGCTGTTGCCTAGTTCTTTCTCAAAGGAAACACCTAAGATTTATATCCAGGAGAGGCCTCGAGCAACGATCGAAAAGAAGGACACGCCGGTTGAAATTAGATTTCTAGTGCACGACACGAGCTTAATTTCAGAGTAGCGTATGTAAGCACACCGTTTTCTAATAATACACGGCCCCATGTGCTCGCCTGTCTTTTCCAACAATGCTCGTTCCTACTTCTTCGCGTGTGACTTACGTGGCCATCGTTACGGCCATCGTTAGGCTACGGTTTAACCCACGGATAAAGAACTCCGGGGGTGAAACGATAGAAGGAACGAAATAAAGAGGTCCACACCCTCTGTGGCTGCGTGTCTACGCTCACTTTACCCTCTTTTCAACCATGCTCGTTTTATTTTCATCAATTTCGTACGCTCGTACGCCACACCCTTCGTCGATGAGAACAATTGGAATTGTAATAACAATACGGAGATACGCTGTGAAATTTTACACACCGATGAAAATAAAATAGTTTCGGTAAATTTTTCGGTAATTGAGCTATGTGCCTTTGATCTCGTTATTGGACTGTTGGGCAGATACAAGTAAAAGCGTTGACAACTGACCTACTTCCGGTCTCCAATTAAGGGGCTCGCGTGAACTCGCGTTGTCGATACGCTCGAGATCTCGCGGTATCCTTTATTACAACCTTCGTGAATTTATGCCTGATTCGTGGACAGCTGGCGCTAGTCTAGATTTGAAAAGCTTTCGAATCCAGGGCATCGTGAATGCCCCTCCTCGCCCCCCCCCCCCTCCCCTTTGATAAGAGTCTCGAAAGAATTTTTGAGATCTTTGTGTGATCTGGAACTTGATTACTTTCGCACGACCAATGGCATTGCGACGCAACACTGATGAAAGATGTTCGTGACCGAGACGAAAATTGGAAATTCTCGTTTGAAATAAAATTGAACATTACGTGTAATTTTATTGCAAGCACGCTCGAACAAATGTAAAGCAAAGTATTTGCGCGGGTGTTTTTATTGAATGGAATGCACTATTTGGAATAATAATCGCGATTAAATCAAGAGCGACCTCTATAAATCTAGGTTAATGGCTGACCAGTCAGTTCTCTTTCTACTTAGCCCGCAACCCCTCGCTACTTGCGCCACTCATCCCTTGGTAACGGCCTAGAGAAGACGCTACGGTGTCCCATTACGCAATTCATTCTCACCATGAATTAATTATTGTTAGCCTAACCTTTTCATTTCCTCAACCTTCGATGATCAAACGAAATGAATACGTCTCTCCCGTCAAAGTATTAGTGCTCATTTTTGTAATAATTACTCGATATTATTTTGCCATATGTTAATTTCTAATGTTACTCAATCCTTATAATTCTACTATGCTAGGAAACTTCCAAATATTGTATTAATAAATATTTCGATATTTGGAAGCACAGAGATTTCTACGTGATATTCACTTTTTTTTCTGTAATTGAATCTTTTATCGATTATCCAGACGATGAAATCTTTTGGCAGGAACAAATGGGAATTTTGTACCGCCTCAACGTGTTGCGATTAAATGTCGCTAGAAGCCCGATAAACCGACGACTTTAAATCTTTTCGTCCACGAAATTTACGACTGACCTTCGCGATTATATTGAAGTCTAAATCTTCTCCCTCGAATTTCAACAGAATGACAGGGACAATGGAAAGGACATCTCGGCGACGATCTGGACATCCGGTGTTCAAGGTGAATGAGACTGCAATACGCAATGCATCATAAACCAAGCATTCGATGGAACGCAAGGCAAGATGAAACGTAGTAGCTCGATGTATAAGTTCATCGCGGAGGTCTTGCAAAATCAAAGCTTCCCCCTCGTTTCTTCTTCTTCTTCTTCTTCTTCTTCGTTATGTATCCTCCTTTGTTCTCTGTCTTTCTATTGAAATTCGAACGATGACACGGAACGAACACGAAAGAATAACGGACGTGCTTGAAAACCGCAAAACCGTTTTGCATTAGGCGCACGCGTAACAAACGATGATATCATGCCAGTGACTTGTCCAAAAAAAGGACCTGGCTCATGCCTGCGATTCATCCTAATATTACACGTCATTCCATGTACGTTCCCGCGTTTACCTTTCCGTGACCACGTTTTCTTACGTGTCTGCCCCCGTGTCGGCCGTCACCCCTACAAATCAAAAGGATAGAAACTGTAAATCGACCGGGTGAGATCGGCTAGAACCGCATCGAGTGGTCGATGGGGCCTGTGAAATGTCAGGGTGTCGCTGCAGGCTGCAATTACGTTCATAACAGACGGCAGACACCAGGCGGGAAGGAAATTTATGCAACCTGCAATCGTAATATCCTGTTTTTTTTTTTATCCTTTTACGTGATCGAAGGATTTCATTTAATCGTTCGTTCTTGATGCAATTAGCACGAGAGAACATAGTGTTTCAAATGTTCAGAATAATTGGCCGGTGAATTGAATATCAAACTAATTGAATCCGGAAGCGCCACATTTCGTACTTTATTGCGATTTTAAAATTTTTAAACGATGAATTTTAATGTGTATGAAGTTTTGAATGTTAAAGAGGATATTTAGTTTAGTTATTATTATTTGGTAAAATTAGACACCTCTTGGCGTGTAGAATTGTCGAGAATAGCAACTGTTTGAGAGATACTTTTGATTAGCACAAGAATAGAGCACATGAATTTTCATTACTCTCCGAAAGTAATTAAGACCGAACTCCTAATACTTTTGTATTTAACGTCTTTAACCATATATTAAAGGTTAAATGACGCATAGATCATCAGACCAATGATAACAAAGTTGAGATACGTGTATATTTTATTGAATATGCCTGGTAACAATTAGAATTTTGTTTCATCACACGGAACGTACATGTTCGATCATAATATATACGTATAACTTTTACACATATGACAAGACTGGTCAGCCGGTTTTTCCCGCGGTTATTCATTGAATCTAAATTTATGCGAACGAAAAAAGTTTTTCATAGAAACAAAATATTGGCAGAGAGAAGACCAACCACGCATCTACATTTCGCATATTTCTCGATGAACATGCACCACCGATTTAGATCGACGTCATGTTCTTCGTATACATGTATGGATATACATTTTCGTAGAAGCAAAAATATTCTCGATTAAACAGTTGCCATCTGTACAAACGTAATGGAGTCGTTTTTGCAACTGTACTCCACCGTTTTTTTCCCTTAAGGGGGTATTCTAGTGTGAAATTTTAAAAAAATCGATTATTTTTTTGAAAATTTCTAAGGGATATAGTTTCAAAAATACATCTCTGGAACTTTACATGTGAACTCTTAAAATTAACGGGTGGGAAGGACGCGACGACCAGTGTCTTACCGCAATCCTAAACTTTAAAGGCATTTTTCTGGAAACTATGTTTTTCAGAACGGTGTCCGTGATATCTCAACATCTACTTGATCAATTGAATCGAAATTTTAAGTACGCATTTAGTACACGTGTGACTACAGCCCGAACTAGAATCAACCAAAAATTTTTATTTTTTATATTTTTTTTAGGCCTGCGAAGTATGACAGAAACACGCAAAAATCGATAATCGAACTTCAAAGTATCGCCAATTTTTTAATTACCGACATTTTTCTTTTTCTCTAGTTCCGGCTATAGGCAAATCCATGCTAATTAAGAAACTATCACGTATTTTAGACAAGCAGAATGGCCGGAATCATGGACACCGTGAGACGATTTTTTAAAAAATTGACTATGTTTGAGAGAGTATGCAGTACCATTAATTTTAGATTTTTCTGTTCCAAAAAATTTTAAAACGTCGTTGAAATACGTGCAAATAATCCTTGTCAATTTGACTGCAAAAGGTATAATAGTTTCTTTGAAAAAAATTTCCAAAGAAAGTTAAAAAACACGCACTTCACACTAGAATACCCCCTTAAAGTAACACGTCGCTCATAGCGTATAACAGCAACAGTAGAGGGAACAAGAGAATGAAAACGTTTTGATGAACGAGAAACGGTAATGCAATTACAATTGTTCTCCGTTTTGTACATCGACAATTACAAGGTGCAAGGAATGCCAGTTGCATTGATAAGTTTCGATCGGCCGTTTCTCATCGGTATACTCCTCACCTGGGAAAGAAAGGTCATCTACGATCTATTCGTTTGAAGAAGCTATTTCTTAATCGTACATTTCCTTTTGTAAGGAAACTGAACGTGGAGTATAAAATGTTAACTCCTTACCGTATGAGTACAAATATTAAAATATTCCACTATAAATTGTAGATGTTTGGAACACAGTGAAAACTTAAGTAAAACACAGATGTTTGAAACACGGTAAAAAGTTATGATAGTCGAATCATTTTAGCTTTAAAGAATAATCAGAAAATAGAGCTATGATCGAAAGAAATTAGGTCTAATAAGTATATCATTCGTGTAACATTTGGGTTTGATTGTGGAA